TCCCCCCCCCCCCCCCCCCCTCCCCCCCCGGCTGCAGATTGCGGGAGGGGGAGACAGAAAATAATGTGCCAACAAGCAGCATCTGTCTCCTTCTTCCTGTGTGTAATTTGTGTGTAATGATGCCTAATGATACATGTGTGCATCCAACACACAGATAATCACACTGTTGTTGTTTTTTTTTACTACTCTTTTCTCAGGAAAGGGTGTAGATCATCTGGACCTCAATCCATTCTTCCTCCACCCGCCTACCCCCCTCTTCTTATTGTTTTACTTTTTGAATCCTTTTGCTCCTCTTGTTCTTCTTCCATGTTCAGACGGATAGGTGTCCCTGGAGTGAAGGAACCCCTCGTTAAAAGAAAGAAAAAAAAATTATTCCTCTTCCTCTCTGCATCCCATCATCCCATCCACCCACACACTCCTCTCTCCACCCATGTGAAATGTACGGGAACCCTGTCTTTTTTTATTCATTTTTCATCCGTTCCATCTCAAGTCTAACATGATATAAGAGCCCTGCAGGCCAGCGCAGTGATGAATAAAAAACAAGAAATAACCTGCTGCTGCGGTGTAGGCTTTCTTCGCTTTTAAACCCAGATGGAGCACTTCTCCACCAGCTAATGGCCCTTGGAGCCAAGCCTGCAGAGGAAACACTTTGTAATATAAAAAGCAGGTTTTGAGATGTTTTTTTATTATGTTAAAGAGGCCCTATTATTCTTTTTTGGGTTTTCCCTGTCCTGTAGTGTGCTATAGGTTTTTGTGCATGTAAATCTGCACAATGTCGGCTAAAATTGCAAAGTTCCCTCCAGAGCAAGTTTCTCCACCATTTGTGCAGATAGCATGAAGTAGAAAAGATCGCCGATGCTAATGTAGCATTAGCATTTATCTCCCGGGCTTAAATGGTGTATTATAGAATGATCACACCGGTCTGACAGTACTCTTCAAAGGGTTCACGAAATATGACTACTACTCTTACTGTTTAACATTTTGGGTTACTTGATGTTACTTCATGTTAAGGCTAATACAAATGACAAGGCTAAGACTGTAATGCTAACTAACGTGCTTGCTACTAGCTAGGTAGCTAACTTGATCCAGCCACTCCTGGTCCTTTCATCAGACGGGAAGCGAAAGAACGAGCAAGACCCATTGCTGGTATGATAACAACCTGGTACTAAGCACACAAGCATCTTGTTAAAGTTATCTTATCTTAGCTATCTCTTATTTGGTGGAGGAAAACAATTGTGACATCGCTTACGCGACTCTGGGATTTGTAGTCTTTCTAGTTGCGTATTTTTCATAGTCTTATATTTCAACAGTTTTACGACAAACTGTGACTTTTTTGACATGGAAATTATTTTTTAAGATTGGCAAACATCATATGTGTAAATCATGGCACAATTCAAATGGGATCGAAAGATACGTTTTCTCTCCATTGACTTCAATACATAATTTTTCCGAAATAAGGTCCCATGGACCGGAAGTAGATGGGCGTGACTTCGCCACTCTATTTCACAAAACACCACAGCATTTCACAAAACGCTACAGCATTTTAGAAAACACCACAGCATTTCAGGAAATGCCACAGCATTTCACAAAACGCCACAGCATTTCCACTTTTACGGAAAGCGTATTCCTTTAGGGAGAAAACTTCTTTTGGACAGAGCCAGCCAGAGAAGCACTGCTGTGATTGGTTGTTTTTGCTGCCAGTCAAGAAATGACGCTTCGTGATTGGTCAGCACCCAACAGCGCAACATGTCCCGAAACATCATGCTGTTAGCTGTTAGCACACAGAGCTCACAGCTCCTCATATCTGTTAAGAAACTGGACAAAAGTTAAACATGAACAAACCACAGACTGTCTATGTCAGGCATGGGCAAACTAAGGCCCGCGGGCTATATACGGCCTGTTGGGCTTTTGAATCCGGCCCGCCGAATATTGGTACAAAATTGTCCAAATTATAGTAAAGACCGCATTCATTTAGCCTTTTTCCTGCAATACCCGGCATTTCAGTTGATCCCACTAGATGGCGCACTCTAGACACAATTTACCTTTGCTGGAGTCTGGTCTATTCTCTCAGCTGGCCCCACTCGGCAACCCGGCAAGATCCAAGAACCAAATATGTCACGCTTACATTGGAGGGGGTCGAGATTAACCTGAGCAATAACAGTTCATGGCGAGTACGGCGAATACAAGTTGTAACAAGCAGTAGCGCTGAGCAAAGTGACTAGAACGCGACCACACACTTATAAAAAACACTTATATAAAGTCAGGCAACACTAACCAGGCTTAGTGTGATTCTGTTTATTTTACCTTACTTTAATAACTGTTATTGACCATTGTGAAGAGGCAGACCTTTTCTTGTTGTTTTGTATTATTGCAGCTATCGGATGGAATCAATACATGGGCTACATGTGGCCATCACAAGTAAAATCCTAACGAAAACTACGCCGGTAAAACATGCGTGTAGAAAACGGCTTATGCCACGATATGATAGCAACAAGTAGTCAAGATAGTCTGATTAGCTAACATCACCTGTAGAATGGCAGAGAAACTTTCATAACAGCGTTGTGATGCCAAACAGCTTTCAGACTAAAACGCATTCACTTATGGGGATGGGGGATATTTATCAGCTGCTTGTGTGACAGTCAGACAATGAAAACTTTACAGCGGCCGCTGCCGCGAGTTAACGGGAGAATAAACTCCGGTAGACGAGCAGCACTGCAGCGGGCAGTAGCCAGGGGCGGACTGGGGGGAAAAAGTGGCCCGGGAATTAATTGACAGACAGGCCCACTTAATGCGCGGCATGTATCGGCCGGCCGGCAACGAAAGTATGTTACTTAACAAAAACCCTATGCATTTGATGTTATTTTGGACCATTATTCATATAGCAATCACATTACCTGAGCCCTTGTGTTGCCTAGAGCAAAATAGTTATGGCATATATTTAGTGATATTAATGTTAACAGATCATTGATGCAATAACATTTTGACCCAATTTGCCTGACTTGACACATAGAATAAAACATGGGCATAGGAAGCATCCTCAATGGGGATGAGACAATTTAACAGGGGGTGTGGGCAGGTGGTGGACCTCACCTCCTCTAGGGGGGTCCGGGGGCAAGCTCCCCCGGGAAGATTTTTTTTAAAATGTTGAAGTTAAATGCATCAATCTGGTCCATTTTGAGAGCAAAATTAGGGACTAAATCTATGGCAGTCAGTGGGGGCTTGGACTGTGAGCCGTAGGGTCGCCGGTTCAAGTCCCCGACCAGACCTATTTGGAGTGTGGACTTCTACTTGGAGAGGTCCCAGTTCACCTCCTGCCCTGCCGTGGTGCCCTTGAGCAAGGCACCGGACATCCCCCTTCCCCCCTCACTCCCATTGCTCCCCGGGCGCTGTGCAATAGCTGCCCACTGCTCCTAGTACTCCTGGTACTAGGATGGGTTAAAAGCAGAGAACACATGTCACTGTGTGTGCTGTGTGCTCTGCATGTGTGACCATTAAAGAGGGTTTCATCCTTCCCAATTATTCTTCTTCTTCAACACCCATATAAAATAGAACTGTAAACAGATTAACTTTTTCTTTCAACATTTATTTGAACAGCAAGTGGAGGCAAAAGTGACTGCACCCAAAACAATAAACCTGCTAGCTAACTAGCTTAAACTCAGTAACAGAATGTGGGCAACACGTTCTTCTCCACAGCCGCGCGACCTCTGAGTCAGACGTCACTTCCCCCTTTTCTATCCTACGGGTACAGCCGTACAGCCACTCCCCCTGAACCCTGTTGTAACAACATAATAAACGTTTTGGGGATGCAGCTTGGTATGTGAGGACATGGCTTAGAACGGGCGTGTCGCCTTCTGTCCTGCCAGTGTTGGCAGGACATGAATTAAAATGTCGAACTCGGACTTCATTTTAAGGACATTTCGGCCAGGGGTTTAGAGCTATATTTGTTTAAGCACCGGATTGGCAAAACAGGAGAGTGTGTGCACCAGTCTGCCTTGATCTATGTATTCATGTCCGTGACTCTCACAGTATCTGCTGCCCACAGCTGTTTTGTAGAAGGAACACCTCCTTCACTTCATGAAATCTCTGCAGCACCAGGAGGCAGCGGGAGGGTTAACTCAGCCTCTGAGAAGACGAGCGTGCAGTGCCTTTCACGCACCGCCTTCGCTGTGTTTACCTTCAGAATCATTAGAAAGGCTAAAGAGCGGTGTGGCTGATGTGTTTTATATGAAGGGCCGTGTAGGCCAAAATTCAAACTCACCTCGCACACACACTACTGAAAACATCTGGCCTTGCATACACACTACTGAAATCCTCTCACATTCACTACTGAACACCTCACACACACTACTGAAAACATCTGGCCTTGCACACACAATACTGAAATCCTCTCACATTCACTACTGAACACCTCACACACACACTACTGAAATCCTCTCACATTCACTACTGAACACCTCACACACACTACTGAAAACATCTGGCCTTGCACACACAATACTGAAATCCTCTCACATTCACTACTGAACACCTCACACACACACTACTGAAATCCTCTCACATTCACTACTAAACACCTCACACACACACTACTGAAATCCTCTCACATTCACTACTGAACACCTCACACACACACTACTGAAAATTAAGCCTCACACACACACTACTGAAATCCTCTCACATTCACAACTGAACACCTCACACACACACTACTGAAAATTAACCTCACACACACACTCCTGAAAAACATTTTACTGAAAGGTTCTCAGTAGGGAATGTGCATGTGTTTCACCTATGTGTGTGTGAGGGGATTCTTGCTGTAACGGAAGTCATTCTTGCTGTAACGGAAGTCATTCTAATGTAACGGAAGTCATCTGCTAGTGGTCTCTTTGCTATCCCCGTTAGCTTCATTAGCTCCAGGCTGCTACTCGGACGTGTTTGTTGTGTGGAGTATTCTTCTTCATTGAAATATCGCACTTATCTTATGGCTCTGCAGTTCAAACAGACCGTCCATGAATGCAGTTTATTCGGTAAGTAAAATTCAAGCACTTTATTTCTTACTTGTCTTTTTATTCAGCTAACAAGCGATACGAAGCTATATCTGTGCTAAATATGCTATCCGTAGCATACAAGTTAAAACATAATAGAGAAGTGTAAAACATTAAGAATGATTATACTGTAAAACATAAGGCTTCTCGGTGAGGTTGGTAAAATAAGGTCATGCTTGTACATTAGTTAGTTTGCTAGTTAGGTAACTGTATGCATTGTTATTGTTAATTTAAAATAGCTATGCTCGACGATGCAGACAGCTAGCGTCACATTAGTGTTGAAGAGCAGAGTACTGTATGAGATTAACCCATAGATTAACCTCACTATAAGATCTGTGTATCTGAAAAATATGAATCTCACATTTCCAGTTGGTTCCAGAAATAACGTTGACGTAGATATTGCAATATGGTTTGTTGAGCTGGAGTTGATTGTTGAAGCTTACTGGTTAACGTTCATCATATTAAACGAACGAACCCAAACGTTGTAGTTTTTATTAATATTATTACCAATACTTACTTAGCATTTTATTATCATTACACTGGAGAAACCGACTTATTGTGGCAGCAGAACGTGAACATGTAACTTAATGTCTGCATTTGAGGACGAAAATAGCTCAGTCAATGCTTTAGGGACAAGGAAATGATTTGTTTAAATATTAGATATGACGTTATGTGTGCTTCTGTGACAATGAAGCTTATTCATTGCATTACATTTGTTGAAGATGTTTGTCTTTTACCCTTACGTGTGTGTTACAAATGAATGTGAATATGGTATAGGACAAATATTTAAATTGACTGTCTCATGAAAAACGATTCTAAAATAAAAAGGACCCCAACTATACAATAATACACAATCCAACTGATAAGATACAGTAAGGGCTTTGATATCCAGCACTTTTTTTAAGGATAACAAAAAGATTATCACATGACATTTGCATGTAAAAACAAGTCTGTGACCAACACATTGTTACTTTACATATATATCTGTTTGTTTAAAGTTTCCAGGTGATGCAGACAGACCAGAGGATGCTGACCACGAGAGACAGACCTATTCCTAACATCAGTGAACTTCAGCATGGACTCAAAGGTACAAAGACTCCTTTCATACTGTACAAAGAATCGAGAAACGTTCTGGTTTAAATAGATAAAGTAACAACTATAATCAGCTTTCACATTTCAATGTATTTAAGGCAATTATTATTTTACATTGTGAGAATTGCTACCATTTGTCTCTACATATTGTCTGTAAAAGACGTGGTAAAAGTGGTTCTTGCAGTGAGACAACCGAGCAGTTGAATATTATTTAATAAGATATTTTAATGTTGATTAACTGCAGACTGTTCATTCATAATCTGATTATCTTTGTAGTACAAAGTGATGAATTAAAAAAACACATTAAAATTAAAAAAATACATTATTTCTACAGCCGCTAAATAAACAAACCTTTCATAAATAACACACTTGCTCTGCAATAATGTCATATGTTTCTTGTCATTTCTGTTAGGAAAGGACATACCTGAAGGACACAACTGCCTCACCGTTTTCTCAGAGGGGCAAGAAGAAAATGAAAAGCTGATTTCAGATTAAAGACCAATACAGGACATTCACTAAGAAACTACACTTTTATTGTGAACACAAAGTCAAACAGGACCATCATTTGTTTGTCACAGCTGAGCCCAGTATGTGCTCACAGATGCAGTTAGGTGGTTTCTTCATCAAGCCTGGTCCTCCTCCATCAGGCCTGGTCCTCCTCCCAGAGAAAGACCTCTCCACCTCAGTCCTCTCCAGCCAAACCCACAGACAGGACATCCGTCATGCTGAGGTTTCTCCCAAAGTCTCTGCACGCTGTCTCAATTGATCCACACTGTGAATATGAGGGGGAAATGTGTGTCATAAATGCTTTAGACAATAAGAAATATGAAGTTAACTGTAAGGAATGGCTCATTATTTTGTAAATAGACAAAACTATTACTGTATTTCTATATCTCATGTCTGAAAGTTTAATTTAAAAGAAGAAGAGGCCCCAAAAATAAAGATTGGTATATCAATAAATGTAGTTGATTTTGTCTTTTTAATTGTTTAAAGTAGATAGAACTGGTACTTAAGAGTTTGAATACAGTCTGGTTGCGGAGGAGGCACACAGAGAGCATATAGCTACCATCACATGTAACTAAGCTTGACTTGAATTTATTAAAAGTATAATTAAGTAACAGCAACAAATCAATAACAAAAATCATGCAAAAATATGAATCTTTGCTGGGTCCACTGTTGAATTTACCACATATTGTATGTTTTAGAAACCTTAAGGCATTTATAGATTTGTATGCAAGTAATATCCCAAAACGCAATAAATACCTTAGATTATTATTGAAAGTTTTGCTGAATAGTTTCATGTTCACTTACCTTAAGCAACGTAAAACGTGCAGACCGGGAGCAACAGAAGTAGCCGGCTAGCTGGAGTACAGAGGTTAGTCTTATATTTACTTACTGTTAACGAACTAATGCTAACATAACTGTCGGCTAGAAGTACACAGCTTAATCAACCATATTTAACAGGCCATTATCCTCTCAGCCTGAAATATCAATCACTTCAATAAATGATCAAACAAAAAAGGAAAGGTTCTGGCTCAAATTGGGTGTAGTTAGCTTGTTAGCTTATTGCAGCTTAACAACACTGACCTTTACAACAGGAAGTACATCTGCCTCCCAGCGAAACCAGAAAGTAATTATCCAAAACAAGTGCTCATAATCTGACCGTTTGTGACCTCAACAAACATGCTTTTTAAAACTATTTTTCTCCTTTTTCATATTCAGAATTTTGTATGTATTGCAAAGTGTAATGAGGAAGATATTGTAAACGTTTTGAGAAGAACTCTACACTGTATTGATAGTATTAGAAGACAACGCGTGGGAGATGATTTTGAACAGGGGAGGCTTTATCGTGAGCTTGATCATCACACAAGGACATTATCAGAACTTCTCATGGAATCCCGAACTGGTAATGAGCCAATCCATGGACAATATTTTGTCATGATTGAGAGTTTATATGGATGTTTGCAATCTATTCTAACGGAATATGAAGCAACTCAGAGATACAGTGTTACAGCTAACAGTCGAATGATTCCACCTACTGTTAACACTAATTTGCCTGGTCGTCCAGCTTATAGCATTACAAATGCTCAAATTTCACATTGCTTGTCAATGGGAATGAATTGGAGAGCAATTGCTAATTGCTTTGGGATCAGCTGCCGCACCCTGTACAGACACAGGCAAAACCTTGAGATCCAGGGTTTACAATACAGTGTTTTGACAAATCAAGAGTTGAACCAGATAATTACTGATGTACTTCAGAGGACACCAAATGCTGGAGAGGCTTATATAACTGGAAGTCTCAGATCAAGGGGGTTAAGGATCCAAAGATGGCGTATAAGACAGAGTCTTCATGAAGTTGACCCTGTAGGAAGAGCAATTCGCAGGAGGCATGCTATCCGCCGACGCATTTATGATGTTCAGACGTCTAATGAACTGTGGTAAGAACATTACAACTTAATTTGATTAACTAATAGTATTTAAGAAATATTTACAGTATGTGTTAAGTGTTTTCTACCTCAATTATTTTATACTTTATACTTTAATATATTTATTAATGTGTGCATGAGTAATTATTAGTATACAATTAAACATGTGTAGGCTTAATCTCGTGCATATTCACACAAGCGTCTAATTTTGCTGTTCTATGTCAAAAACATTTCATTTGTTTTAATATCCTACTAAATGTTCTGCAATTATACTTGTGTTTTCCTTTTTATTCTATTTTACAGGCACTTTGACGGCAACCACAAGTTGGCACGATGGAGGATGGTTTTTCATGGCTGTGTCGATGGATTTAGTCGATCTATCATTTATCTTACCTGTCTGGATAATAACAGAGCATCGAGTGTATTGACATTGTTTGTGAGTGGAGTAGAGAATTTTGGATTACCATCTAGAGTAAGATGTGATCATGGCATGGAGAATATATTGGTTGCCCGTTATATGCTTGAAAGAAGGGGACTTAATAGACATAGTGTCATTGCAGGGTCCTCGGTTCACAATCAACGCATTGAAAGGTTATGGGCTGAAGTTAGAGTAGTAAGTAGACATTTTATCAGTCTTTTCAATTACATGGAGTCCATCTATATACTAGATTCTCTAGATGAGTATCATTTGTTTTGTCTACATTATATTTTTATGCCTAGAATTAGAACAGCAACAATAGAGTTCATCAATCAGTGGAACCACCATGGACTCTCCACACAGGGGGGTCGTACTCCACTACAGCTCTGGCATGCAGGTATAATTAACTATATGGGACAGGGAAATACAGCTGTGGATCACATTTTTGACAACAATGACTATTATGGGATAAATGAAGAAGGACCTTTACCTGAAATACAGACAAATAATAATGTTATAATCCCTGCTATAGCTACTGTTAATGACACAATAGCTCAAGCAATACAGCAACAGTTTGATCCACTACATGATGATGGAAACTTAGGCATCAATTTATTTTCTTCTCTTTTGCTTTTTGTCCAGCAACACAGTACATAAGAGCAATTTTACAGAAGTCTGAACAAACAAGTGTATCAGTAGGCAGGAACAGCAGAGACCTAAAAAATTGCACATGGACAGTGCAAAGTGTTTTTTGTAGTAGGGCCTATTAAGTTATCAACATGACTTATAAGGCTTGCTCTTGCCTCTGCTTACTTTTTATGCTGATTTTCCTATTCTTATTCTCTGAAAACTTCGAGCAGCGGCTCCTGGACATTAACTTATCACTGGGACAGTTCATCTTCGTAAATAGACGGAGGGTTTCAGCCATATTTCAACATTTTTACGACGACGTCAGTCTTACAATAGCGTGGCCTAGCAACAGCTAAAGCCTGGTAGGCTACTGCTATTTAGCTTAAGCTAGTTGGTAGAAAAATGCCTCCGTTCTCTATAGATGACTTCCAGAAACTTATACAGAAGATGGCTGTGTTGGAAATGAAAATGCAACGGTTGGAAGTTAACGTGGAAGTGAATGGACTATGTCGTGGGAATGACACAACTTTACCAGTGTTGCTAAGTAATGGAGAAGGGTATGCTAACTCACAGCTAGTTAGCAGCTACAAAGATTCCAAGGAACAGGAGGGCTGTGTACCGGGTAATAAATCTACAAGTGGTAGTCCTCCCTGGAACTCTCTGGGTGCAAAGCCTAAGAGTAAATCACTTCCATGGGATTTGGGAGGACGGATAACAGGCAGAGCCCAGAGCTCCGAAATCTGTGATGCGACCGGCTGGCCTGCATTGTTATCACCCAGGAAGAGCGCCTCTTCAACCCCTATTCATACTAGGAAACAGCCGTGGACAGCTGCTAAAGGGAGAATTACAAACAATCCTCCTAAACCACCAAGTGTGCCAATCCAGAACAGATACGCTCCGCTGACCGAGAACCGGAGATCTGATGACCTGGATAACCTGTCCTCTTCACGCAGCAGGGTAAGGACCAATAGCTACTCTAAAAGTAAAAGGCTAGAGGGAAAGCTAACGACTGGGCCTGAAACTCTGATTGTGGGTGACTCTGCTGTAAGAGATGTAAAAGGTCTGTGTAATAAGAACAACACCAAAGTACTCTGTTTTCCCAAGGATGTGGTCTCTGACTTGGCTGAGAAGATCCTGCATATTGGGGCTGAACATCCGACTGTGAAGAATGTGGTACTGCACATTGGAACAAATGATGTTGTGAAACAACAGTCAGAAGTGCTGAAAGAAGACTTTAAATGTTTGTTGGAAACTGCCAGCTCTCTAAATGCAGAGGTGTTCATCAGTGGCCCTCTACCGCCAGTCAGAAGAGGAGTGGAGAGATTCAGCAGATTGTTTGCACTGAACACGTGGCTTTCAACGGCCTGTACTGACCATTCTGTTCATTTTATTGACAATTTTAACTTTTTCTGGGATCGCAGACATCTTTTCAAGGCAAATGGAGTTTGCCTGAACAAGTCAGGAGTGAAATTGTTTATCTCTAACATATTCAACTGCCTGCGTCATCAATCTGTTCCCTCTGCCAAGGACAAGCGGCAGGAGGAATCAAAACACGAGAAAGACACAACACATCACGCAGAAACCCTGAAGAATTATCACTGCACCCGCCTGAGGAATGTTCTGATTATGGGAGACATATGAGACACATGGAGGAGTCTCCACTGCCCCCCCCCCCTGTCAACGCCTTTGAGGATACTCCGTTCACCCTTTCACCCTCGCCCACCCTCCTGGAGATCGATGAACACACAAAGGAGATACAGAGGGTTGGCACCGATTCCTTCCTGGAGTTCAAAGACCAAACGAAGGCGATACGCAGGGCTGGCACCATGTCCTTTACCCCCGCTCCTCAACGACGCCCACCAAAATCACCGCGGAGACGCGCACCATCTCCCCCGTCCTCATCACCGCGCCTACGTCAACCACCTCCCCCCCTGGCAGCATGTCCTCTACCCCCGCACCATCTAGCCCGTCTCCATCACCGTGCCTACGTCGACCACCTCCCCTCCCTTCGAGGGGGCTTCTGCAGTCTCCGAAGCCTGATAAGGATGTGTGTGTACAAAACACAACAAACTCTTACTGATATGTGATGGGTCCAGGCTCAAGGGCGTATGGCACTCTCAACTCTTTCAAGGACATGTCGGGGCCCTGCCTGCCAGTAGCTTTGCCGATATCTGTGTTGATAGGTAATAGATTAAGAGCGGTGAATCATAGAAACAGGAAGCGCTCAAACGTTTGTGTGAGTGTATCTAATTTAGCAGTGATTGCATGTCAGCCACAGCTTGTTACAAAAAAACATGACTGATAGTGTGTTTAACAAACTTAAACTAGCTTTATTAAATGTCAGGTCTTTAGCAGGAAAAACATTTTTAATCAATGATTTTATCACTGAGCACAATCTCGATTTTATGTTTTTAACAGAAACTTGGATTGAACAAAATAACAGTGCAGCTGTTCTTATCGAATCAACCCCTCCCAACTTCAGTTTTATGAGTCAGGAAAGAATGCATAAGAAAGGGGGTGGAGTTGCTATTCTGTTCAATGATGCCCTTCAATGCAGGAAGACATCTTATGGAAACTTTGATTCTTTTGAATATGTGGCCCTCCGGCTGAAATGCTCCTCTCGAGCTCTGTTCCTAAATATCTATAGACCACCCAAATACTGTGCAAGCTTTTTTGATGACTTTACTGAACTGCTGTCTATAGTGTGTATTGACTTTGACCGTCTAGTCATTGTTGGTGATTTTAACATCCATGTTGACAACCCCCAGGACAGAGGGGCTAAAGAACTGTTTTGTGTTCTTGATAGCTATGGACTGACTCAGCATGTGACGGAGCCCACGCACAATAAGGGGCACACTCTGGACTTAATTATCTCAAAGGGTCTGAATATCTCTAAGGTTGTGGTGACTGATGTTGCACTCTCTGACCATTCCTGTGTTTTCTTTGAGAGCTCTATTTCTGTTCACAAAAATGTTCAAAAGAGGTAACCACAAAGCGATATTTAACTGAAAACACTAGGGAAATGTTTACTCAGAATTTCTCTTCCACACTTGCCCCTGCCAACATCTCAGTAAATGAGCTAGTAGATCATTTTAATTCAAAAATTAAAAATGTTATAGATGCCATTGCTCCAACTAAGGTAAAGGAAGTGTCTGGCAAGAAAATATCTCCATGGAGAAAGGCCATGACCGTGAAAACAGAAAAAAGAGAATGTCGAAAAGCTGAACGCAGGTGGCGAAAAACAAATCTCCAGGTTCACTTTGAAATCTATAAAGAGAGACTTGGCCTCTATAATTTGGAATTGAAAAACGCACGACAATCGTTCTTCTCTGACATCATTACCAAAAACAAAAACAACGCACGTGCCTTGTTTGCTACCGTCGACAGACTAACTAACCCCCCAGTGTCAGTAGCCTCTGAATTTCTATCCACCAGGGCGTGCAATGATTTTGCCTCCTTTTTCACTGACAAAATTCAGAAAATCAGACAAGCAGTCAGTGCCTCTGCATCAGGAACAGTAAATGTGTTGTCCCTATCTCCACTTAACATCAATTCAGACATCATGACACAATTCCATCAGATTAATGATAAAAACCTAGAGGACATTATTCAACTTCTGAAATCCTCCTCCTGCTGCCTTGATATTATTCCAACAGGATTTTTCAAAGATGTTTTGCCTTGCATGGCCTCAGATCTACTTCATATAGTAAACAAATCTCTTCACTCAGGTATTTTTCCACAGGCCCTGAAAACTGCAGTCATTAAACCGCTCTTAAAAAAGAATAATCTAGATGCTTCAGTAATGAACAATTACAGGCCCATATCAAACCTCCCATTTCTAGGTAAAATCATTGAAAAAGTTGTTTTTCAACAGTTGAGTAATTTCTTGCATTTAAATGACTGTTTTGATGTGTTCCAGTCAGGCTTTCGTCCAAACCACAGCACTGAGACTGCTCTTGTAAAGGTCTTTAATGACATCCACTTAAACACAGACAGTGGCAGAACTTCAGTGTTAGTATTATTAGATCTCAGTGCTGCGTTTGACACTGTTGACCACAGCATATTACTAGACCGACTGGAGAACTGGGTGGGACTTTCGGAAACAGTTCTGAATTGGTTTGAATCCTACTTAAAGGACAGAAACAACTTTGTTTCTATAGGTAAATACACATCTGAGTTGACAAATATGACATGTGGGGTTCCTCAAGGCTCCATCTTGGGGCCTCTTCTCTTTAACATCTACATGCTACCACTGGCTCAGATAATGAAGAACAACAAAATAAGTTACCATAGCTATGCAGATGACACACAAATTTACGTAACAATTTCACCAGGAGACTATGCTCCAATTCAAACACTGAGTAAGTGCATTGAACAAATCAATGACTGGATGTGTCAGAACTTTCTCCAATTAAACAAAGATAAAACTGAGGTAATGGTTTTTGGAGCCAAGGCAGAACGTATAAAAGTTAGCGCTGAGCTTCAGTGTGCAATGTTCAAAACAACAGATAAAGCCAGAAATCTAGGTGTAGTCATGGACTCTGACCTGAGTTTCAACAGTCACATTAAAACTGTTACTAAATCAGCCTACTATCACCTAAAGAATATATCTAGGATTAAAAGACTAATGTCACAGCAGGATTTGGAAAAACTTGTCCATGCTTTTATCTTCAGTAGACTGGACTACTGCAATGGTGTCTTCACAGGTCTCACTAAAAAATCTATTAGGAAGCTGCAGCTAATTCAGAACGCTGCTGCTCGAGTCCTCACTAACACTAAGAAAGTGGATCACATCACTCCTGTTCTGAAGTCTTTACACTGGCTTCCTGTGTGTCACAGAATAGATTTCAAAATACTGCTGCTGGTTTATAAAGCACTGAATGGTTTAGGCCCAAAATACATTTCTGACCTCCTGCTAAATTATGAACCATCCAGATCTCTCAGGTCTTCAGGGACTGGTCAGCTTTCTGTCCCCAGAGTCAGAACTAAACATGGTAAAGCAGCGTTCAGTTATTATGCTCCAAATATCTGGAACAAACTCCCAGAAACCTGCAGGTCCGCTGCAACTCTGACTACTTTTAAATCCAGGCTGAAGACTTTTCTTTTTGTCGCTGCTTTTAATTGAACTATTCATATCTTAGACTGCACTGTAACTTTTATCCATGTACTTTTTTCTTTTAATGTTTAATTGACAGCACTGTAACTTTTATCCATGTATTTTTTCTTTTAATGTTTATTTTATTAGCTTTTCTTTTTAATGACTGATTTTAAATGCCATTTTCTTAATCTCTTTCATTTTTTGTAAAGCACTTTGAATTGCCTTGTGTTGAAAAGTGCTATATAAATAAACTTGCCTTGCCTTGCCTTGCCTTGCCTTGCCTTGCCTTGCCTTGAACAGTTCACACAGAAGATGTGGGACATATAACATTTCAAATAGATGTAATTAAAATGTGCTCTCTAAGAGGTTTAGGGCCAAATGGGAACTATTTTGATTTCTGACCAAAAGTGAGCATTTCAGAATTTTGAGTTTAAAGTCAGAATTCTAAGGCGTCTAGGGGGCGCTAGGTGGAACAGTTGATTTTTGACCCAACAGAGACCAACCATGAGGAAAATCCATGGGACAAAAGTGGACTAAAGAAACGATAAAGAAAGGGTTATTTTTGTTTTTACATTGGCGATTAGTATTTTACATTTAATTAAAAGTGTCTTAATAATAGTTCACTTTTCTCCTGTGGATTGTCCTCTTGTTTGATCTCTCTCCATCGGGTCGAAAATCAACTGTTCCACTTAGCGCCCCATAGAGGCTTGGAGTACTTCTGTTGTGGTTTTCTTTAGCATTTGTTTTCTGACATCTTATAACAAAAAAAACAAAAAATGACAACATTAAAATACAATGTTGGTTGTTTTCCAATGAGATTATGTCACATTAACAGTGATACAACAACTTCCTTGCTTAATAACAAAGACAATGAAAACACTGTATTTTTTGTGTAACAACAATATTTTGTCTTGGACAATTTAAGCTCTGCCAAAGCCATGTGTATTGGCAAAGGCAAAGTCCAGTTTTGCCTTGAACACAGAGTATGAGCTGTGCAACGGCAGCTTGAGACAGTTTATGCATGTATTTGCAAGAGGGAGGTTTGACACAGCAGAGTCTCCATACTCCTCCTCGTGCAGGAAATCAATAGATGGCATAGGTTGGAAGCCAATTGGTGGGATCACTGTCGCTCCCGTGGCAAAGGCAAGGATTTGCTCAAGTTTGGAAGGACCCCTCTTGATCTTAAAAAAATTAAAGCAAGATGTGTTTTTATGGCTGAAATGATTGTATTGAAAAGTACAAGTTCTAGAGGAGACAACATGGATCTATGTCAATAAACATTTCAACTTGTCATGTACTTTTTACAAACCAGAGCTCTTACCTTCCGCATCAATTAGGTAGTCTCTCCAGTAGGGAACCACCATCTCCTCTGCTCTCCTCTTGTTGCTGCCTTGCGCAGATAGATGGATGGGGAACAAATCCTCCATTATCTCAGCAGTCAGTGCAGATTGCTGATGGCAGAATAGAGGGCGGAAGCTGTCTGGGCTCTTCTGGAGCTTTCCCAAAATGCCAAGGATTTTAAGCCCCTCTTGGAACCTTTTTAATCGAAGAAAGACATATTTATTTCAGTGATGAGCACTCTCAATTCATAAAATGAAGGCTCTGACAGAAAACCAACATTCTGGGTACTCAGACATCAGAGGATTCTGCTAATTTAAAAAGTTTGACTGAATGTTTGCACGCTGCACTTTAGACCAGGCAAGCAAAAAAAAATACTAGGTAATTTCTAAATACTTTTTCCTTTTAACCTTTGTCAAATTATACCCCAGTATACGGTATTACAGCCGGGTAATATGTATTACTACGCTTATTTTTGCTAGCTCAACTTGTCGCTTGTTGTTTTAGTTTCACACTTAACACAACATTTTAGAAGATTACATTGAACCAGGAGTCGGCAACCTGCGGTTAGCGTTTAGTTATTACGCTCCACATAACTGGAACAAACTGCCAGAAAACTGCAGGTCCACTGCAACTCTCACTTCTTTTAAATCAAAGCTGAAGACTTTTCTATTTGCCACTGCCTTTTATTTAATCCAATGTTTTTATCTTACACTGCACTATAACTTTTATTCTTGTATTTTGAACAAAGTTAATTCCATTTAGGCTTGTTTTCTTTCAGGTTTTTATGACTGTTTTTAAAGGATTTCTTTAACGTAAATGTATGTTTTTCTGTTGCACTACATCTTGTAATGCTTTTAATTTGTTCTTTTGTAAAGCACTTTGAATTGCCTTGTGTTTAAATGTGCTATATAAATAAACTTGCCTTGCTAATATTTGTAATTGTTCTGATATAGACAATTACCGTATTAACCGCCCAACCCTAAGATAGACTTTCGTTTGAGAGAAAGCGAAAGAAAGAAAGAGAGAAACGGAAATACCTTTGGAATGGGGCTTCAACCCGGTGCACAACTTGAAACATGAGGATATCATGGACAAGCTGTTCCTTCTCCTGAACCCTTTTCAGCGGACGAAGACACCCTGCGTTGGCCAAATAATCCTGCATCTGTTGAGTTGCAGCAATGAGGTCCTCATATTTTGAACTCTCGGACACTTGAAATAAAATGGTAGTATTAAAAAGCTACTAAAAACAAATAAAACGTAATGGTTAATAAATGGTTCTAAATGGTACATCTTGAATTTGCTTTAGTTCAGCATACAGGAGCATAGTTTTACATTTCAAAGACTGAATTTGTTAATATGATAAGTTTTGAATAGCTGTGTTATGAGAAAAACCAACCCTTTTCACTTGATTGTAGATGTCTGTGTCTGCAATGTCCTTCAACACTGGCTTGGCTGTATGGCTGCCTGCAGCCAAGCAGTCAAATAGTGTTGTAGAGAGGAAACTAGGTGGTGGGCCTCCATGGACAAGACTGACAGCAATAGCTCTTCCAGCAAGGAAATAGCGGTCCTCTCTGTGTGCTGTAAAGGCAGTATGTGGTTGAAAAGATCTGAATAGCTCAGATAGCAACAATGACTTTTGTTATTGACCATAGTCAGTAGAATTTGAAATGTTATTTGAATTTACTGACTACACTTCTACAGTGGACAAACATTACCTGGAATATCAAGTGCCAGATTCTGACTATATTCTGACCCCTCAAACATGGAGCTCATCATCAGAGCTTCCATCAGAAGGCGTAGGAACTCCCTCCTTGGTCCTCCCAAATCCACTGCCTCCTCATTCCGTCCAAGATCATCGGAAAATTTGATGTTCATGGTGGCATTGGGGTCGTACGTGGCCCGATTGAAGCTCCGGAAGGCACCATCCAACACTGCCGAGCGGTTGATGTTGAATTTACAGCGACTATTTGCCGAGATTTTATCAGCCAACTCTGAGAGGATCTCCTGAACAGAGGCATGTTCAGTTGCCTGGGCTCTGAAAAAAACAGAACAATTACCAGAAATGGCACTTCATTATCTATTGTTTTACTGAAGGGACAATTTAACTTTTACATGTTTTGCATTACAATAAGATTCACTATATAAAATGTTTTAATGAACATGCAGTTGTATGTGTGTTATAGTATTTTTGATATTTTGGTTATGTCTATAACTATATGAAATGATAACTTACTGTTCAGTTTGAAGGCTAGCTTGTATTGCACGATTTAAATCCTCATCATCCGACGATAAATCAGAGACATCTCTCATTAAGGTCACATATGAAGAGTAGTCAGATGTGGGGGCAATGGTCGAGCTGGAAGCCGTGACAGAAGAGGTGACACTGGTAGTCACTGGAACGACAGAAGAGCTGAAGCTGGAGTTGGTGGTGTGAGGCAGAGAGCTTGTCGTGTGAAGATAGCTGTTGAGTGGCAGGCTGGAGGTAGCGGTTTCATCAAGAATTAAACCATCGCTGTGGCCCTCTTCGCTGCTATCTTCCCTGGGATGAGTTGCCCTTGACTTTGACCTTGTGCTGGGACCCTCCTGGATAGCACAGGACTGATCCTCAGTATCACTGTTGTAACCCTTATCAAGAGAAAAACAATTATATTTGGATTACAATGATATTAGGTCAATAAAAAAATTTAAACAAATGAGATCCAGGATCTAAAAAACAAGGGTAAACTTACAAGAATAGCAACTGATGGTTTTACATACAAGGCTTTTGACCTGAAGACCTTGTGAATCATGTGACCATCAAACTCTTGACCTTCTTTAAGTTTAGGTGTCACAAGTTTATTTCCACAAGCCATTAGAAACTGCAAGCTGAAGAGTTGACAGATAATAAGCATTACATGATTAATAAAACATTAACAGACACAGCATGCATGAATGATAGTTACAAAGAATGACTCATTACATAGCTGTTCCAAGACCAGAGTAACCACATCAAAAACGTCTTTACACATATATTTTATATTGGGCAAATTAAGCCTACCTCACTTCCTCAGGAATTCTGGGCTTGAACTCATCCCGGATCTGTCGGAATAGGGTCAACTGGTTCCATGATTTATGGAACTCAAAAGCACTGAGTATGTGACCATTTGCATGCAAGAACTGTTTGGACTTTTGCTTGCACACAAACTCCCATGTTGGGTCAGGGAGTATAATTACATCCTTGTTGAAATGGTCATGGTACTCCACAGAAGTGGGCCTGAAAAATAAGAGCCAACCAGTTAAACATTTAACACACTATGACACAATGCAATTTAATGACAATGTAATTTTTCCTTAATTCTCTCAAAACGTCAAGTAACAATAAGACCTTAACAACATGCTATAGCAACCTAATTTCATCTTCTTGTGGTAGGTTAGGACTATATAATAGTAAACTACAAACTGCACGAAGCTGGTTCAAACTATTGCAGTGACTGTTGGATGAACTAGTAAGGCTCTGAATCATTTGTGTGCTACGCGCAATCTCAGGCATGAATAATAGTTTGGGATGAAAAAGGTGAGAAGTAAAAACAGACACTAGATGGGTTCCAGGTGATTTTACTCTAGGGCTGGTGACAAGCTAACATAATTACAAGACTGTGCAAAATGCCCTGAAGTAACATCAGTCTCAGCCATTGCTTTTATTTGTATTTTGAAATAATTGAAGTCAATGGCGAGAGAAGGGTTAACTTTTAATGATTAAAATAATCACTGCTATTGGGCCCTAACATGTGTTTACTAACACCGGTTACTCCTATAAACAAATAAACACTTAACCATATACATCTTACCTCCTCCTCCTGCTTCCAGAGGCCCACGAGTTGACATTTTGCCTCACTCTTTGACGAGTTGATGGGGGCTGCTGTGGCCTTGAACTGCTCGGTTGTGTAGAGTTGGCCTGGCGAAAAAGAGTGGCGATCTCTCCATCTACCGAGGAGAGGTTACTCCTGGCGGGGGACGTAGTCTGCTGCGCAGATGTTAATATGCTCGTTATTAACGCTGCTGCCTGATTGAGACGATCCGTGTGGTTAGCTTCCATTTTTCCACCAGGCATCAACACAACAAACACGTCCGAGTAGCAGCCTGGAGCTAATGAAGCTAACGGGGCTAGCAAAGAGACCACTAGCAGGTGACTTCCGTTACATTAGAATGACTTCCGTTACAGCAAGAAAGACTTCCGTTACAGCAAGAATCCCCTCACACACACATAGGTGAAACACATGCACATTCCCTACTGAGAACCTTTCAGTAAAATGTTTTTCAGGAGTGTGTTTGTGAGGTTAATTTTCAGTAGTGTGTGTGTGAGGTGTTCAGTAGTGAATGTGAGAGGATTTCAGTAGTGTGTGTGCAAGGCCAGGTGTTTTCAGTAGTGTGTGTGTGAGGTGTGCAGTAGTGAATGTGAGAGGATTTCAGTAGTGTGTGTGCAAGGCCAGATGATTTCAGTAGTGTGTGTGTGAGGTGTTCAGTAGTGTGTGTGTGAGGCTTAATTTTCAGTAGTGTGTGTGCAAGGCCAGATGTTTTCAGTAGTGTGTGTGTGTGAGGTGTTCAGTAGTGTGTGTGTGAGGTGTTCAGTAGTGAATGTGAGAGGATTTCAGTAGTGTGTGTGCAAGGCCAGATGTTTTCAGTAGTGTGTGTGTGAGGCTTAATTTTCAGTAGTGTGTGTGAGGTGTTCAGTAGTGAATGTGAGAGGATTTCAATAGTGTGTGTGTGAGGCTTAATTTTCAGTAGTGTGTGTGTGAGGTGTTCAGTAGTGAATGTGAGAGTATTTCAGTAGTGTGTGTGCAAGGCCAGATGTGTTCAGTAGTGTGTGTGTGAGGTGTGCAGTAGTGAATGTGAGAGTATTTCAGTAGTGTGTGTGCAAGGCCAGATGTTTTCAGTAGTGTGTGTGTGAGGTGAGTTTGAATTTTGGCCTACACGGCCCCTCATAGTTTTAACCACACACACCTCTACACACACACACACACACACACACACACACACACACACGATTTAAACGTAGACTTTTGTTCCTCCATGTTACGTTGTTATTGTTTCACTGAGCGGACCCGCACATTTTTTTCAAACGCTCCCCTTTTTGGTCCATCTGCGCGGTTTTGTGCGCTGTGATGATTCGGCTGTACCTTTAGTAATGAATATTAAATGTTGTGAGGAAATCTTTCCATCAATAATTCCAATAAGTAATCCAAAATGTATTCACTTCAGGTTTACGAAAGTAACTGTAATCAGATTACTCGTTTTTCAAATGTAACGCGAGCTGAATACAGTTACTTGATTTTTGCATTCTGATTACGTAACACCGTTACATGTATTCCGTTACAACCCAACCCTGGCCACACCCCACTGGGCTGGGCTGGGCCGGAACACTTACAAATGTGGGCCGGTAGGATTTAGGCAAAAAAAAATTCTGCAGACATTTTTTTTTTTTTTTGGCCCTCCGGCCCACACACAGCACCGGCCCACCGGGGAAACTCCCGGTATTCCCAATGGCCAGTCCGCCCCTGGCAGTAGCTAATGCAGCTGAACCACATTAATAAACAATGCACCACGGCACTCTGGAGAAAGGTATAAGGTTGGAGAAGTAGTTCTTTAATTTAATCTTTAGGCTTCGTATAATAAAAAAATACCAGACGCAGTCCTCTATTGATGTTGTTGTGAGCGGTGTTGCGGAGAAAATCAGCGTAAAACGCTGTGTGGGTCATAAGAAGACACGTAAACGGTTACGTCATGACGCAATAATTCACCTTTGAACCTAATACACCTTTGAACCTGCATCTGTAACAATGAGTGGAACAAAGAAAAGAAAAGTCAACATTGAGTGCCGATTGTATAATGAGGAGTGGACAGCTAAATATGTTTTCACCGATCTGCTACTGGCCCGGCCCGTCTGTCAAATTGTAAAACTCATAGTGGCCCCTGAGCCAAAACGTTTGCCCACCCCTGGTCTATGTCATGGTGAATACAGTCGCTGTTTTATTTCTGTCTGTAGGCCATTGTTGTGAGTGTGGACGGAGCAGCTACAGGTTAGTTTATCCTGATCGATCCGATCTCCATTCAGAAAACACGCATTTTAAAAGGTTTTTCGCCTGCCGTCTTGTCTGCAGACTTGTCACAGCATTAATTCATGGTTTTTACTAACGGGTATCAGTATGTTGTTACTTCAGCATCATTTTGAAACGTGGATTATGTGCGAAAATTGAAGTAACTTGAAAGTTTGAAGTGAAAGTTTGATACAGCGTATTTTTGGTATATTCATCTTAATGTCCCCTGATATATAAGAAGTGTGTTTTTATATATTCATGTGTGTACTTAATTACTTTGTATTTAATAGTAGCAGTTTATATGAACAAAAAGCTGGAGATATGAGGAGTGAAACCATTGTATTTGGAGTAAGATGTGAGCAAGGGAATATTCTTTAGACACAACTCAAGTCTCTGGAATGTGCAAAAAGGGTGTGTGTGAAAGTCTATGCAAGAATGTGTGATAACGGACACCAGATGTGTTTTGCTACAAACTAAGAGACTCTTGTTTCCGGGTCCTCTGCTGGCTTGCGCTGATACGCTACGAACGCCCATCGTTGGTATATGGGCCAATAGATTACCTGTATGGGAGGACCATCCACACAGCTCCTCCCGTTGTTCTTACAATATCTCCTGTTGAGTCCTTGTGTCCGGTCTCTTTCCTCCTGCCATCAAGATGATGATGTTCTCCCGGCATTAGGACCAGGGCAGGGGTGGGCCTACCCCTTTGAGAAGTGTATTGTATTCTTACCTTTTATCATTAAAACAGATTATTGTTTAACCCCTATCCTGGTTGTTTTGAGTTTTCCTTCTTTTAAAACAAACTCATATAGGATCGGCGTGGAGCAGAGATATCTGCTCCAACAGAATGGTGACCCCGACGTGATGACGTGAGGACGTGCCGACGTGGTGACGTCATGAGTAGGGTTTTTTAGAGGAAACACTAGCAGCCAGCAGACGGAGGGAGATGCCTGGAATAATCTCTGACAACTAAAACCAGGATCCTACAACTGAAAGGTAAAACGGACGCCTGTTTCTATCGAAGATCTGTAATTGTCAAAGATATTTCCCAGTGTCATAGTCTTCACGCTAAGATAATGCAATACATATTTTAGTATAGGTATGAAAGTTATATAAATATAAAAGTGAAGCAGCGAACTATTTCAGCGTAGGGTATTGAGTCTCGGACGGCTGGAAGGGCACAACGTCCCTAGCTTAAGTGTAGGTATAGAGTCCACACAGTCCCACTCGCTGGTGGGAGTCAAGTGGTAGTATCGAGTCTCCATCCATGACAAATCTGAATAACAAATCCAAGGCTCATAGGAGCTGGAGGTGAGTTATATGTAAAAAAATCCAAGGGGAGATACGCAAATTTCAAAAAGCCATTTTGAAACGACCGGAATCACGTCATCTCTTGTTCTGTTGGGTTTAACTCCCATTCTGTTGAAAGAAATATCGCATCTTAAAAGCTGGACAGACAGCGAGGAGGATATATTTATGTGTATGTGAATAAATAGAATATATTATTGAACATAGAATAGCCTTAGTCAGATAAAGAAATACGAAGTCATAATGGAAGGATACCATAGTTTCAAGAAAGCCCCCCTTCTCCTGGAATGCCTGACAGCTCCAGCCGGGGTGTCTGTGAGAGTACCCCCCCCCTCTTTTTTTTTCTCTCTCCTGTTTGCTCTCTTCTTTAATGCCTGAAGAAAAATAAGTGGATTTAAAACAAGGAGTGAACGATCAACGAGTGATCTGAAATTGGAGGGAATAACATTGAAAATTAATAGATCAATGTGTGAGTTGGAGTGGTAGATATTGAAATAAATAAGAAACTATAATTTGTTGTTTTTAGCATAGTTTTTGAGGGATACAGTTACGTCACATTGTGGTTTTTATGAGAAGTTTGAGAACTGATTGTTACTATTGCATTGCATTGTGAATTTCGTGGTATTTGTCATTAACTGAGAATTGTACTTAATTATATTTCAGAGGAATTTAATTACATACAGTAACGTTGAGGGAAAGTAAAAAGAGGTTTACTGAGTATATTATGAAGTACATTGAGGTTAAGGTTCGATTCAAATTAAATATAATAGTGGATTATTCCACCTAGATTAGACATAGAAAGAGGAGAATTTGTTAAACATTAGATAACAAACTCACTGTAAGAAATATATATTGTAATGTTATTTAGGAGTTGTATTGATCATACAACAGTGAGATAGGAAACTGAAAACGCAAACAATTCACCACAATTAGATTTTGTAAGTTTGTCAGTCAGAGGGAAGCTGTTAATGGCTAAGCATGACAGAGGTGCTGCACGGGGTTTTGCTCCAGCCATCTCACACGGTTGGATAAAATGATAGGAGATGACACTCTGGGAAATTTAGGCTCAGCTCTACGTGTTATGAACTGGCCTTGTCTGGTTACATTTTTATTGAAGCCAGACTACAAGTCGTATGGTTTAATTTTTATTGAACTCAGTCTCCAAGCAGTGTGGTTTTTATCTGCAATTGTTTGAGTGTTCCCCTCCCCTTCCCCCAGTCACTTGAGGTTAATGCTATACTGCTAAGCTAGTTAGCCAGCCAGTTGGCATTACTAGATTGTGAAATAGTTGGAGTAAAAGATACAACCGATAACTACTGATTAAATACACAGTGATGGTGTACACGAACAATGAGAGTAGATTAAGTTGTTTTGTTTTTCATGCTTTTCACAAGCTCATTTGAATGGTTATTATTTTAATGTAGTGTTGTTTTGAGTTATATTTCTAAACTATAATGTACCCACACGCATGTGGTTTATTTGTCACAGTTCATTTTAAAGTCAGCCACCTCATGGCTAGATCTCATCTCTGAGAGTCCATTGTGTTAATGATTAAAAGGTCCTTTTGTTCTTCAGGCCACATGTTAAGGATGATCAGCATCCAATTTATTTTGACCCCATGAGGTCAAGAGTCATTCTGTTAGACCACAAGCTTGTGAAAGACAAATCATTGTTCTTTTGTCACATTTTGAAT